AGTTATTTATCTTGAGTTTTTAGTATGTAGAGAAATCTTAAAGAGCTCAGTTAAGTTTTAGTGAAAATTTTTAAAATTATTCAAATTTGAATAGAGAATATATTCATGTGGTTCAGAAATCAAAATAATATAAATACACACTGAGAAGCTTTGCTCTTATATTTATTTGACCACCCTATTTCCCTCTATCCACATCGCCTGTAGGTATAATAAACATAGGTAACTGTGACAGAAAATAACAAATCATGTACATTATTTCACATCTTGATTTTTTTCCTCCCTTGATAATATACCCTTGAGATCTTTCCACATCAGCTTGCAGCATTTCCTCTTTATTTTTCAGAGCATAGAATCCCAGTGTGTGGACAGAATCCTTTATTGATGGGTATTTGGAATATTTCCAGTCTTTTGTTATTTTATACAGTACTGCAGATATATGTAAAAACACACATTCACACACGTGCATATTTGTATATTTGTATGGTTCCCAGGTGGCGCTAATGGTAAAAAAAAAAAAAACAAAACGGAAACCAGCCTGCCATTGTAGGAGACATGAGAGACTCAGTTTCAGTCCCTGGGTCAGGAAGATCCCCTGGAGGAGGACATGGCAATCCACTCCAGTTGAAGAATCCATACCTTACCTGGAGAATCGCATGGACAGAGGAGCCTGGCAGGCTACAGTCCATAGGGTTGCAAAGATTCGGACACAGCTGAAGCAGCGTAGCATGCATGTATACCTAGATTCTCCAGCTGGGTCCTCTATAGACAAAGGACAGATCAACAAGGAGAAAAGCAAAATAAATGTATTGCCGTGTGTTCACGTGTGTTAGCACTCAGTAATGAGTAACTCAAGGGGATGGTAGAACATGGGCTTATCTAGCATCTTAAAAGAACAATAAATAGAGAAGTAACAAGATGAAAAGGGCCTTTTGAGTTTCTGGGTTGGCAATTTGGGGGAGGTAAATGTGTGGGGAAACTTAAGGGCTATTGAGTAAGGTTTGTTACACAGTTTGTACTGGTACTGTCTCTCAGCTGATAAGGGTCTAGAGTTGTCTTCAGTGATTAACCCCTATCCTTCCTGGTAGAGAGGAAAGGTAGGACACCTCTACAGATTTATGTCCTGCTTTTAGGCACATCGAAAGAGAGCAAAGAGCTTTTCTTCTTAGTGGCCTTCAGTTCAAGATAATCCTTATGCCAAAATGGCATATTTTGAGTTGGCATATTCTGCTGCCCTTTAGTACACAGATGTATCTGTAAGCTAGATCTGGAACCAAAAGGTAATTGTGTATGTTTTGCTAGGTTTGGCACATTTTTTTTTTCTTTCATAAGGGTGGTTCTATTTTGTACTTCCAGTATGAGTATACAAGAGTGCCTTTCCCCCCAACAGATTGTTATCTGACTTTTGAATTTTATGAGATGAAAAATGTTATCTTGGTGTATGTGTGTTTTTATAAATAAGCTTTTTCAAAAAATTACTTTTTAAGAGCAGTTTTAAGTTCATAGCAAAATTGAGCAGTAAGTACAGAGAATTCCCATGTACTCTATACTACACGTAGACAAACCCCCTCCCCCCCCCACACACACTGTCCACAGACTGTACCACAGGGGCACGTTTCTTACCATTCATGTACCTACATTGACACATCATATCATCCACACTCATAGTTTACTGTGACATTGTCTGTGTTGTACATTTGATGGGTTTGACGACTATATAATGAAATGAGCCCAGCAGGCTCCTCTGTCCATGGAATTCTCCAGGCAGGAATACTGGAGTGGGTTGCCATGCCCTCTTCCAGGGGATCTTCCCGACCGAGGGATTGAACCTGGGTCTCCTGCATTGCAGCCAGATTCTTTACTATCTAAACCACCAGGGAAGCTCACTTAGTATTGTACAGAATAGTAATAATATCATACAGAATAGTTTCAGTACCCTAAAAATCCCCTCTGCTTTACCTGTTCATCCCTCCCTCCCATTAAACCCAAGCAGCCAGTAATCTTTTTACTGTCTCCAGAGTTTGCCTTTTCCAGAATGTCATATGGTTGGAGAATACATTTTGTAGTCTTTTCAGATTGGCTTCTTTCACTTAGTAATATGCATTTAAATCTCCTCCATGTGTTTTTATGGCTTGATAACTCATTTCTTCAGCGCTGAAAAATATTCCACTGTCTGGATATACCACAGTTTATCCATTCACTTACTGAAGGACATTTTTGTTACTTCTAAGTTTTGGAAAGAATAAAGATGCTATAAACATCCATGTGCAGGGTTTTGTGTGGACATAAATTTTAAGCTCCTTTGGGTAAATGTGAAAGAGCACAGTTGCTGGATCATATAATGGTATGGTTTGTTTTATAAGAAACTGCCAAACTGTCTTCCAAAATATCTGTACCATTTTACACGTCCATCATCAGTGAATGAGAGCTGTTGTTGCTCTATATCCTCACCAGTGGTATTGTCAGTGTTTTGGGTTTTGACCATTTTAATAGGCTTATAATGGTAGCTCATTTAAATTTGCAATTCTCTGTTGGTAGGTAATGACTTGCCATCTTTGTCTTCTTGGTGTGGTGTTATTTCAGGTCATTTGCACTATTTTTTAATTGGGTTTATTTATTTATTTATTTATTTTTGGGGTTTATTTTTTTGTTTTTGAGTTCTAAGAACGTTTAATATATAGGTGTATTTTGGGGGAACGGGTGACAGTCTTTTATTAGGTGTGTCTTTTTGCAGATAATTTCTCCAGTCAGTGGCTTGTCTTCTCATTCTTTTGATAAGTGTAAACTTTTGTAATCAAATAGAGAAGTATACAAATTAAAAGTTTATGGCTTTATGAATTTTCCAGGTGAGTATATTGTTGACTTCTCAGCGTAGTTTGAATTTTCATTTCTCTCATCAATGAATTTGACATCTTTTCATAGGATTAAGAGCCACTTCTCTTCCTTTTTTGTGTGGACAATCAGTTCACATCTTTTGCCCATTTTTTCACTGAGCTGCTGCTCCCCCCTCCTCCTGTTTAGTCTTTAAATATTAGGGAGGTTATTTTTTTATTTGACATATCAACAACATTTTCCCTCTTTTTTAAGATCAGCCATTTCAGTTTGCTTTTAGTTTGTTTTGCTATATTTGAAGAAGTAATTGGAATTTTCTCTTTAACAGATAGATGGCATCTCTTTCTCTTTCCTCACATACTTAACTTAGCGTCAGTGTCTTCCAAAATTCTTCCTAGTATCTTTTAAAAGTACTTCATGTTCCCCTGGTGCCTTTTGTATATCTTTACCTTTGCCTTTAATAAGACTCCTTACCTCACTTGTTTTTCTATAGACTGTAAACTCATTGAGGACTAGAACTGTTTTATCTATCTTTCTCTAGTACTTAGAGCACAAGAAATATACAGTAAATATTAATATTTGGCATGAATGATTGTGTCTTCTTTGTTTCTTGGCTTTTTGGTGTCTTTGATTTTATAGCAATTCATATCAAATTTAAGTACTCTTCCTATATTATTATTGAACCAACCTATATTATTGTTGAACCAACCAGTCTTACTCATCCTTCTTATCATTCTCTTATTTTTTGCTCTTTATTCCATCTCCTCTGAGGATTGTTCTGGAGAGACGTTGGTTCATTTTGGGGTCCTCTGTGAAAGATTAATAGATCTTTTGCATTTTACTTTCTTCATAATTAAGATTTATGGGAGTGTTTTGATGTAAATAAATGATACCATAGTTTTAAGTCCTTTTATTTTTTGGGAGGAGGGGCAGTATGTTATATATGTTTTGTTCTCATATGTTTCTGCAATATAATTTTATAAAAACATGTATATATATAAAATATACACAAAAAAGTGAGAGATTCATATAGTGTGAATTTCCACGTACTATTTATCAACTTCACGGATTATGAACTCATAGTATTTTAAGGTAAGTACTTAAAAAGACATATCATTAGAGTTATACAAATTCTTAAGGCTGTCTAAGGGCTAACTTCCCACCCCAAAATGCAGAATAAGTAATGCAGATGCAATTTGAATTTCTCTTGTTACTTAGGGATTCAAACCTCTGTGATGTAGTCTGTCGTCTTATTGAGCAGCTGTGTTTGTACACTGAGCTAAAATATGCTTATGAGGAAACTCTTATTGGTTCAGTTTTAGCAGCTCTGCAGTAAGAGACTTTCAGTTTATAGAAGACAGAGCTTTATTGTTAGGCTAAAAAAGGTTAATTTTTTTAAAGGTTAATTTTAAATGATGTCTTTAAGAAAACTTGTGTACTAGTAAAAAACTGATAGTGCACATCTTAAAGAGACTAAGGAAGCAATTTCATTTTCTTTACTGATTTGTCAATGGCTGTTGACAGTCTTATGAGGGCCAATATTTTAAATTAATTTCTGATTTAAAACTTGAACATATTTTAACCACATGTAGAGTTTTTATATCTTTCACATTAAAATAGCAGCCCATAAACTGAAATCTGTTTGTTATGGTTACATTGCCTTTCAGTTCTCTCCTCAGCATATCTAGTAGATACTTTATGAGATCTGTAAATAATTTGTTTCCTATCAGAAATTGCTAATTCAGATTATTCCATTTGTTTCAGAATCACTCCATAGTAGTACCCCATATGGTAATACCTATGTTGGTTATGATTTTATTGTTAAAAAACAGCCAGTTTATTCAAATGATTCCTTTTCAGCTGGATTCCTTTTATTAGTAATGGTTTTGAATGAAGAGCAATTTCCGAGAAAAGTTTTATACAACCTTAATTTCTTCCAAATATTCAAGTTGCTTAATAATCTTGAGTTGATTATGCCCTGTGGCGTATATCGGTATTTACAACAGTGAGAATTTTGTGTGGAATGCATTTGTTAGGTTTTGTAGAATAACTAAATTACAGTCTGTATTTCAGCATTTCCTTAACTTTTTTGTACAAGATGAAGACTATAGTTTTATTCTTATTAGGAATTTAAAACTAGAATGTAATGTCTCTGTTTCTCATTTCTGTAGAGCAGGTTGTTGCCCTGGATGCCCAAAATATTGTAGCTGTTTCATGTGGAGAAGCTCATACATTAGCACTAAATGACAAGGGCCAGGTGTATGCTTGGGGTCTCGATTCTGATGGACAGCTTGGCCTGCTAGGATCAGAGGAATGTATCAGAGTACCCAGGTAACAAAGGTGACCGACAAAGGGGTCTTTAACAATCTTTTATAATAAATTTGGTATCTGAATCATTCTGCTTACTACTGGGCATTTAAAAGTTGATATACAATCACTTCTCCCCTTTAAGCTCTAAAGGCATTTATTGGGTGCTTGCCTTTAGTTTGTATTGAATGCTGTTTTTTGTGTATTTCATGTTTTCTCCCAGATTATGTTTGTTTGTAAAGATAAGGGGTAGAGAACGCACTCTTTGTTAGAAATTTTCTCACTGAAATTAGGTGGATTAAGACTAAACCATTAAATATTGGTTGGTTGTATATTTCTTTCTCTTGTTTTTTTAGTCTTTATTGTTTTTATTGAATGTCAAAGTCCCACATGCTTAGAATAAAAAGAATAATTCACTTGCTACATTTTTACATAGCACTGACCACAATTTAATTTATGCTAACCACTGACTCATCATAGAATTATTTCAAAGTTTAAAAATAAGCAATACTTCATCAATATTGTAGTTTTACAGAATTATATAGGGCGTAACCATTGCTTTAATATTAAAAACTGTAATCCTGAACATAAAGGTTTTAAGAAGAATATCCAGTTCTTTTGGGTACATAATTAATACACTAACTCATTCTTAGTGTTTAAAATTATACAAATTCTTGTCTCCTTAAACTTTTGTTTTCCCCCTGGTAATAGTTATAGGGATAAAAGAGAACTCTCTAGGGAACCAGGGTATTACACTAATTTTAGATTTATTCAAGGTACCATTTTTATAATATATACATTTAAATATTTTGTTTTTAACATTATTAATGTTTGCCCTGGCTTAAGAAATAGATAACTGCTAGGATAAGAAATTGGAGCACAGGAAATAATACATTTCAGAACAGGAGGGAATTCCCTGGCGGTCCAGTGAGGACTCCATGCTTTCATTGCTAAGGGCACAGTTTCAATCCCTGGTCAGGGAACTAAGATCCTTTAAGTTAAATGGTGCTAAAAAACAAAAACAACCACAAAACAAAAAAAAATCAGAACAGAGCTCTTATCATTAGAAATGACCTTTTTAAATTTTTTTAAAGTAGAGATGGTATCTCGTTCCTTCAGTAAGCCCATATCCTTTTATCAAATATATATATGTGTGTGTGTGTGTATGTTGAAAACTTAAAGTATACATTTGAAGTATTTGTTTTGTTTTAGCATATTAAAAGATTTTTTTCATCTTTAGTTTGATGCTTTATATTTGTTCTCGTAATGAGCTGTCTGTTGAGACTTTGGGATATGTCTCATTAATGTGTTTTCTTTAACCTGTAATCAAATTCTGCAAAACTCCCCAAACAAATTTCTTCTCTTTTTGTTTCTTCTGTAATAACAATTAAATAGCAGACACATTTCCCATTATGCTTTTAGTGCCTCTTTAATGATGGTGCTGTTGGGAGAGAGAGTTTTTTCCTTAAGCTAAGTAAATTGAATTTTTTTAGTCATTTCAATTTTGATTTCTTTTAGAAAATGTTAATTTGCAGCCAAATGGCTATTGGCTACAAAAATGCAAAGCATTCATAGAAACAGAGTGATCTCACATTTGTCACATTCTCTACTGCCTTTATTTCCTTCCATAAGTAATTATTGTAGAATGGGGTTTTTTTATTTAAGATTTTTAAGAACTTTTTGTTTTTAGGATTGAAAAGAGAGTTAAATGTTAGATTTTCTAAGTCCTTATTTTCAAAACCATGATTCACAGCAAGGCTGTCTAGTTTCCCATATTCTTCACTCCACTGAATTTTCCTTTTTTTTTTCCTGTTCAGTTCTGGTATAAGAGACAGTAATCCATAGATGCTTTGTAAAGAGAGAAAGATAAGGAGGAAATTTTATTATGTGACAGTTTATTTGAGGGTTGCCCAATAATTCTGTTATTTGTGACTTTGCTCTTTTATGAACCTGAATGGGGACCTGTAAAAGATCTTAATTGAATTCTTTGGTTTAAACTTCTCTGTTAGTTTTAAGCTGTGTATAAGGGCGTCGTTCCTGTTGAACTTTCTCAGTTTTTCAATGGGATCTGTTGTGACACACACATACATATACATATATATATATATATATATATATATATAAATTTTTACTGGTACTTCATATTTTAAAGGGCAGTTTAGTATTTCAATACAGTAGGAGTATGTTTTTATGAAAGACCACCAGTGATTTTTTTTTTTCTTTTTAGATCTCAACACCAAGTAATTTTTTAGATCCAAATCTTTTTCTAGGTGCTTAGAAATGTCAGCCAGCTTTATAACTTTCACATACGTTTTGAATAAAACATATGATAGGAGGAAGCTCAGACATATGAATAGATTTTCTTGATTTAACTCAATTTTGAAAGCATATTGCAGAGTGTTACCAGGCGGTCCAGTGGTTAGGATTCTGCTTTCACCTATAGGCCATGTTGGATCTCTGGCAGGGGAGCTAAGATCCTGCACGTTGCATGGCATGGCCAAAAAATATGTTACAGTTTCTGCCTAATATTAGCATATGAAAGTGCAGAGTATTTCAAATTAAAAAGAAAATTAAAGAATATTTAATGGGAGACTAGATCAGTTGTTAGCCTAAATTTTTCAAAATCAGCTACGACTTTTCTCAGATGAATAAGAAAGTTGTGGCTTAATTGGGAAATACAAAATTGTTGATTATGTTTTACTGGGAAATTTATTTTTAAAACCACTTTCTTGAGGTACGTTTGGCATACAAAAAGCTTTATTTTTGTAGTTTATACACCTTGATGATTTTCTAATTGGCAAAATATTTAATGCTTTAGTTCTTCAAAGTCTTGATTTCATAATAAATTCTTGATTATATTCAAACTTTTCACTGTTTCTTGTTAATGGTTGTTAAAGAATTTTACCTTCACAGACAAATTGGAAATGCCTGGTTTCTGCCCATATTGCCACTGTGCATTAAGTTGGAAAAATATAACAACACAACAGTACACATATTCTCAACAACTTATGTTTTGACTTAAAGGCTTCTCAAGGGAGGGGTGTATAAATCTTATTTCCAAGTTTATGCACTATTTTCTTAAAATTTCAAACATCTTTCAAAATTCAGTGAAGAAATAATTATTTTCTTTACAATGAATAATTTTAGTGATGTCATGGCCATTTAAAAATGTTTGACAAGAACTCTAAACTTTAGGGAGTTAAATTTATAAGTATTTATAAAATATTTACCCTAGACATCTGAAATTTTGATTTTCTTTTCATAGTTCTTATTAATTAGGACTCTTCATATACATGTGTAAATATATTTTTATTTACAAAATTTCTTTTGTTTTGACTTTCCTATTAACTTGATTTGAATCCTTTTAAAAATTGAAAACTGAAAAACATTTACATTATCTTTTTTACTCATTGGGGATTATTTTTGATGAATTCTGTAAGACTTTGTTTCATTAAGAATTTTCTGATTTGTCTCTTCAGGAAAAATGCACCATGGTAAAATTGTTTTACTATTCATATACATCATAGTATTTTTGTTTCTTTTTTAAATTCCCAAAAGCTTAAAAAAAAAAAGCAAACCCTCTTCTCTTTCCCACTTCCACTCCCGCATCTTCAGAGTATTACATCTCCATAGAGACAAAAACAGAGATTTCTTTCCTTTAATACAGTAATGCCACAGAAGAATATCCTCACTTGTCTTGAGCAGACAAAACTGAAAAATTCATTCTGTATTCTAAGCTGCATGATAATATTTTGGTAATGAGAGTCACTGAGTGTAAATTGCCATGCAAATTTAGAAGTTTGGGGGGCAAACTTTATACATAGTTTAATACTAAAACCTCAAAGAAGTTACAGATTCACTTATCCTCAAACAGTGGACACTTGACATACCTTTGTTTCCCCATACGTTTTGCCAGACACTGTGGTAGGTGCTTGGGATTCCATGGGTAGAAGATAATATTCCACTCTTAAAGAGCTTATTGTTTAGCAGAGTATACTAGTAATAATTAAATGAATAAGTATTCCAGTAATTTATAGAGATAAATGCTGTGAAGGAGAAAATAGCGTGCTGTGAGAATGTAGAATTTGAAAAGATTTTACTTAGTTTTGCAGATTGGGCTTGATACCAGGAACAGTTCTTTTTTTAAAATCATTCAGTACCGTTTACTCGTCAATGTATGATGTACCTAATATGCATAAGCAGTAACAGTAAATGTTTAATAACTTCACAGTTGTACATATCCATGTATTTTTTATTCCCGTTTTTGCTTTGCCAGTGTACATTTAGCCTTTTGCTATATTTGAAAATCTGAAAATATGTTGGACCCTGTTAACTTGTTGGATCCTGCTAAATGGTAGCAGTACAACTCTCAAGTTTTGTAGTTAAGAACATAAATCCACTTAATAAATTACTTTTAATACAACAATATGGATTAGAATAACTCTCCTTTTTCCCGCTCAAAATTTGGTTTGCTGAAGCTGCCTCCCGAAAATCATGGGTATCGACACTCTGGTCAGAACTTGCTCCGGACTCTCATATGGCAGAATCAGGTCAGGTGGCAGTATCAGGTAAAGGGAAATAAAAAACATACTGTATTTTCCCACCCCCCTTTTTTCTTGAAAATGTTAATTCAGGAAAAACAGAATGACCAGGTGAAGGTGAACTATATAAAACCTCGGGTGATTCATGCACAGAGTTACTTGATTTTCATGATGTTTTAACACTTAGCCTTTAGAGTTATATTACAGTTAAGGAAAAATCAGAAATTGGGGGGGAAAGGAAGCTAAAAAAATGTAAGGCAGAAACATGAAATGGCAGAAATAGGACCTCACACATCAGTGATCATATTAGATATGAATTAATTAAATTTCTGTAGTAAAGAATTAAATACATTTAATATCATTGATTTAGATGCAAGGCAGAAGGATAGTCCAGAGGGAACAGGTTTCATAATTTGTGATTGGTAGCATCACATGATAGGAATCCCTGCTGGTTCTTAAGGAACCTGATGGAGGAGAGCATGTACTAAACTGGGCCAAACACCAATTTTCGACAAATTAGATCATGTACATCTGTCTTAGAAATATATTACCAGGTTTCGTACGTCAAGTTAAGTTTTTTCAAATTTTGATAATAAAAACATACAAGAGCACTGAAGTGTAAGTATAGATTACTGTGCTTAAATATTGTCCTTTCAAAGTGTTTTCTCATCACACCTCTTAATTTTTCATACTTAGATTTTGTTTACTGATTTTAGCATAAATTTTTTATAAATTGGGCTTGTGTGAAAAAAGCATAAACTGCTAGGTTATGCTAGTAAGGAACTGCTGGTAAGGAAACTCTTTGCACATAGTAGTTGGTCAATAAATAGCATAAATAGCATTCAGGATCCATTTATTAAATGGAATTAACTAATCTGATCTCTTCTTCTTTTCTAGAAATATTAAAAGTTTGTCGGATATCCAGATAGTACAGGTTGCTTGTGGTTACTATCATTCACTTGCACTTTCTAAAGGTAAGCGTTGCTTCTATTTTCTTTCGCCTTTTCAGCTTTCTTATTTAAAGACGAAATTCCTTCAACTTCATCCTTATTAAAGATTGCCCTGGTTCTTCTTTATCCTTTACATTTCTGTATACATTTTAGAATTAGTTTGGCGGTTTTCACAGACACTTATTAAACTATGGGGATTTTGTTTGGGATTGCACATTGTCTCTAAATTGAATTGAGGAAAATCTTTGTAATACTGCGTCTTTCAGTTCTTCAACTGGTGATATTGGAGAAGGCAATAGCAACCCATTCCAGTACTCTTGCCTGGAAAATCCTGTGGACGGAGGAGCCTGGTAGGCTGCAGTCTATGGGGTTGCTAAGAGTCAGACAGGACTGAGCGACTTCACTTTGACACATTGGAGAAGGAAATGGCAACCCTCTCGAGTGTTATTGCCTGGAGAATCCCAGGGATGGGGGAGCCTGGTGGGCTGCCGTCTGTGGGTTCACACAGAGTCAGACATGACTGCAGTGACTTAGCAGCAGCAACTAGTGATATGTCCCCATTCATTTTAATCTCCTTTTAATCTGTCTCAAGAATATTTTGTTCTTTTCTGTGGAGAGGTCTTAACATTTCGTTAGATTTTTCCATAGATGTTTGATGTTTTTTGTTATTCTGAATGGTGTCATTCTCAAATCATTTTTTGCAAGAATGTAGACATGAAATTGATTTTCTGCATCTGATTGTTCTTTAGCTTGCTGAACATTATTCCTTCATAGCTGGGGAAGTTTATAACTTGCCCAAATTCATTTGATCTCACAGATAAACTTTTTATGACTAGGAACAGAGGAAGTCGTCTAAGAATCCTGTTACCTTTGCTTATTTCTTTTGACTTCTTCCTGTGCTCACTAACGATTATGAGTTAGTAGAGAACCTGCCATATAAGTTTATTTTTTTATAGTTTTAAAATTTTTATTTATTTTTATCTTTGCTGGGACTTTGTTTCTCTGCACAGGCTTTCTCTAGTTGTGGCAAACAGGGGCTACTCTCTAGGTGTGGTGTGCAGGCTTCTCATTGTGGTGTGGCTTCTCTTATTGCAGAGCGCAGGCTCTAGGGCAGGGGCTTCAGTGGTTGCAGCCCATGAGCTTATTAATTGTGGCTCCTGGGCTCTAAGGCACAGCTTAGTAGTTGTGGCGCACAGGCTTAGTTGCTCTGTGGCATGTGGAGTCTTCCCAGATCAGGGACCAAACCCATGTCTCCTGTGTTGGCAGGCAGATTCTTTACCACTGAGCCGGCACACATGCACCAGGAAGCCCTGTGTATTTGTTATATCATTTATAGAAGTAAGTTTCAGTGGCTTTATTATTATTAGTTTAAACTTATTAAATGCCTTGTGAGGCCTATTGTGAAGGAAACAGTAGACTAGAACTATAGGGGAATACTGATAAAGTAAGAGACAGTTTTAGGGACCATGTAACCTAATAGAAGAGGCAGATGTACAAATATTATAAATTGAGGCAGAAAAAATATATACTATTTTTGGTCAAGATAAAAGTAAAATACTGTGGGAATAAGGGAAAAAGTGTAGTTTGTCAATACAATTGGTAACAATAAAGAAGGGATTCATATTTGCTGCAAGTCTTGAAAGATGAATATAATTCAGAATTGGAGATCTGTTGAGAAGCAGCTAGGGGGAAATGTTAAGGATTGGCTATAGTAATAGTACTAGTGAGGGCATAGAAGGAAAGTATTTTGTGTATTTGTGTATCAGCATATAATTTTACGTGGGTATTTTCAGAGCATGGGAGGTATTTTCAGAGCATCAGTAGTGGCTGAAGTAAAAACGAATCTGTTATAGAGGGCCTTACATGCTATGTTAATGGATTTGGATTTATTCCATTTAAGGAATAAAATGAGGGGTGGGCTGGCATCCCTATATTTTTTGATGTTACCATGTCAACTTCTCTTTTGATACTTTGGTAGATAAATTCAAGATAAACTTATACCCGAAGGCTTTACTGATAGGACAGTTTTTCTGTCTCAACAAGTATTCTTTTGCCTTATTCAGCTTAATGTTTTAGCAGTGTCTTATCCATTTAGTGAAAAACAAATTTTTGGGGTGGGAAGCAGATCGCTCAGTATGAATTAGGCACAGTGGTAAGCAATATAGTACTAGCCTTTATGGTGGTTGTTTAGTTGCTAAGTTGTATCCGACTGTTTTGTGACCCTGTGAACTGTAGCTCACCAAGCTGCTCTAGCCGTGGGATTTCCCAGGCAAGAAAACTGGAATGGGTGGTCATTTCCTTCCCCAGGGAATCTTCCTGACCCAAGGAGCAAAGCCTTGTCTCCTGCATTGGTAGGTGGATTCTTTACCACTGAGTCATCCTTAGGGACTAGCCTAGCCCTTACGGTTCAGTCATACAGATAACAGTATAGTCATATACTACAAAATAAGACTGTAAAGAAAAAGGTTTGGGATACTCAGATCCCGTAATAGGGGGCCTGAACTTAATCTTGGAGATTAAGGAAGGCTACTTGCTGGGAGAGAATAGAAGTAAATTAGACAAGGGTGAGGGGAAGGTTTAGGCAGAGTGTGTGAGACAGAAAGTGTGTAAGAAACAGGCTGTGGAAAATACGAAGGAAGGTGAGTATGGCCAAAGTATAGTAAATGAGGGAAGCGTTGGTGTGAAATGAGCTCAGAAACATAGGTAGATTTTGTAGAACCTTAGAAGCCTCGTAAAAAGTGTTTATCCCAAGAGCAGTGAGAAGTAACTGACAAATTTTTCTCAGGTGAGCAACATTTCGAATCTGTGTTTTTAAAAAAAATCAGCTCATTTGAGTTTCATTATGAAATAAAAACATGAACATATAAATTTATAGAACAATGAATTTGAAACTTATACAGAACATTATTATGGTGTCTACCATATATCAGATCTACATTTTTATATCTCTGTATATGCAAATGTCTGCTAGTTATATCCATAGAGTATTTTTGCATGTGCATATCAGCAGTTGGTAAGAGTGCTTGTCTTTTGGGAGAGGAACTGGTAATCTAGGTTGGAGAGAAACTTAGTAAGTATGTACTATTATGGTATGAATTTTTAAAAATCACTTATTAGTATATCAATTATTAGTGCCATTTATTTTATAAAGATAAGTAAAAGATGTTTAGAGTTGTTAAATAAAATGTAGCAATGGGTGAGCAAATGAGGCCAAGTAGAGAGAACTAGAGATCTCTTCAAGAAAATTAGAGATACCAAGGGAACATTTCATGCAAAGATGGGCACAATAAAGGACAGAAATGGTAGGGATCTAACAGAAGCAGAAGGTATTAAGAAGAGATGGCAAGAATACACAGAAGAACTGTACAGAAAAGATCTTCATGACCCAGATAATCATGATGGTGTGATCACTCACTTAGAGCCAGACATCCTGGAATGTGAAGTCAAGTGGGTCTTAGGAAACATCACTATGAACAAAGCTAGTGGAGGTGATGGAATTCCAGTTGAGCTATTTCAAATCCTGAAAGATGATGCTATGAAAGTGCAGCACTCAATATGCCAGCAAATTTGGAAAACTCAGCAGTGGCCACAGGACTGGAAAAGGTCAGTTTTCATTCCAATCCCTAAGAAAGGCAATGCCAAAGAATGCTCAAACTACCGCACAATTGCACTCATCTCACACGCTAGTAAAGTAATGCTCAAAATTCTCCAAGCCAGGCTTCAGCAATACGTGAACCGTGAACTTCCAGATGTTCAAGCTGGTTTTAGAAAAGGCAGAGGAACCAGAGATCAAATTGCCAACATCCGCTGGATCATCGAAAAAGCAAGAGAGTTCCAGAAAAACATCTATTTCTGCTTTATTGACTATGCCAAAGCCTTTGACTGTGTGGATCACAATAAACTGTGGAAAATTCTGAAAGAGATGGGAATACCAGACCACCTGACCTGCCTCTTGAGAAACCTGTATGCAGGTCAGGAAGCAACAGTTAGAACTGGACATGGAACAACAGACTGGTTCCAAATAGGAAAAGGAGTACGTCAAGGCTGTATATTGTCACCCTGCTTATTTAACTTATATGCAGAGTACATCATGAGAAACGCTGGGCTGGAAGAAGCACAAGCTGGAATCAAGATTGCCGGGAGAAATATCAATAACCTCAGATATGCAGATGACACCACCCTTATGGCAGAAAGTGAAGAAGAACTAAAGAGCCTCTTGATGAAAGTGAAAGAGGAGAGTGAAAAAGTTGGCTTAAAGCTCAACATTCAGAAAACTAAGATCATGGCATCTGGTCCCATCACTTCATGGGAAATAGATGGGGAAACAGTGGAAACAGTGTCAGACTTTATTTTTTTGGGCTCCAAAATCACTGCAGATGGTGATTGCAGCCATGAAATTAAAAGACACTTACTCCTTGGAAGGAAAGTTATGACCACCCTAGACAGCATATTAAAAAGCAGAGACATTACTTTGCCAACAAAGGTCTGTCTAGTCAAGGCTATGGTTTTTCTAGTGGTCATGTATGGATGTGAGAGTTGGACTATAAAGAAAGCTGAGCACCGAAGAATTGATGCTTTTGAACTGTAGTGTTGGAGAAGACTCTTGAGAGTTCCTTAGATTGCAAGGAGATCCAACCAGTCCATCCTAAAGGAGATCAGTCCTGGGTGTTCATTGGCAGGACTGATGTTGAAGCTGAAACTCCAATGCTTTGGCCACCTGATGCGAAGAGCTGACTCATTGGAAAAGACCCTGATGCTGGGAAAGATTGAGGGCAGGAGGAGAAGGGGATGACAGAAGATAAGATGGTTGGATGTCATCACCAACTCAATGGACATGGGTTTGGGTGGACTCCGGGAGTTGGTGACGGACAGGGAAGCCTGGTGTGCTGTGGTTCATTGAGTCGCAGAGAGTCGGACACAACTGAGCGACTGAACTGACCTGAACTAAGAGAGAAGTATTATAAAAACCTGGTGAAATGGGTAGGTGTGGATCTATTAGCCATATTTTTCTTTAGAAAGAAAACTATGTGACTTCATTGATAGGTGATAGATTAATTAATAAAAACCTGTATGTAAGGTAAGAGGAGGGGAATATGAAGGATGACTCCTTATGTTTATGACTTGTGCTGCTGACTCAGTTAAGATGCTTATTTACTGAAAATGAGGAACATCAGGAAGAGATCCAGGTATGGGAGGTAGGAAGGGGATCATGAATTGAGTTTAGGGCATGCTGAACTGGAAGTATTTTTCAAATATTGAAGTATAGCTGTCAGATAATCTATTTGATACATGGGTTTATTGCTCAGAGAAGAGATAAAGGGTAGTGATAAATTTTGAAGGTATTCAGCATGTAATTGATAACTGAAGCCTTGAGCTTAAATGAGTCCCTCTTGTGAGAAATCATAGAATAAAAATGAGACCTGAGGAATATTGATAAGAGATGGTACTTTCTTAAGGAACATCAGGAAATGAGATTACCCTCAGTTATGTGACTTACCCCATTCATTAGTAAAGTAAGTTGAACTAAAACTCTAAAGGAACATCAGGAAATGAGATTACACTCAATTATGTGACTTACCCTATTCATTAGTAAAGTGAGTCAAACTAAAACTCTACTAATATGGATTGTTCTAGATAGTATCATATAAGAAATAATTGTAAGGAGAAATATGTATTTTCATCCAATGTAAGGAAGAATGTCCCCAAATAACTGATGATTTTCAAATGGAATTTTTTTGTGTGTGAAAAAAATAGTAATTTGTGATTTTCGTTTTACAGCAAGTGAAGTCTTCTGCTGGGGACAGAATAAATATGGTCAATTGGGTTTAGGCATTGACTGTAAAAAGCAAGCTTCACCACAGCTGATTAAGTCTTTACTTGGAATCCCTTTCATGCAAATTGCGGCTGGAGGAGCCCATAGTTTTGTACTCACTCTTTCTGGAGCTATCTTTGGATGGGGACGCAACAAATTTGGTCAACTAGGTCTTAATGATGAAAATGGTAGGTTTGCATTTTTAATAGATATACTTTTAAAGAGAGATGATTTTTTGAGATATTAGTGATTCTTAGTGTCAGAAGTATACCCAAATCTTCCTTGGGATTTAGGTGGGGATGGAGAGATTAGTTTAAAAATTCACCTGATAATATTTTTAGGAGATTGTGGGAAGGCCAAAAATATTATTTTGTTCTAAAATAAAATGGAGAAAGTACATCTGGACAAAAATCTTCTTTGTTGAATGGTTGTTAAAGGAAAATTGAGGAAAACATTACTTCATTTTGGTAACCACATTATCAGCTACCATCAGTTAAAAAAAGTTGTAAAATTATCCTGAAAAGTAACATGAAGTGTTCATCTATTTGAGTATTTCAAAGAATTATTTATATCTGAGTCATTTGATTAATCTGTTAATGGTGATGCTAATGTCTTACAAATAAGCTTTTTGAATTTTAAAAAATTATCACTACTTAAATTGGGATCTTGGGAACTGATTTTTCATAGCTGTATTAGGTTGAATGCCAGTATTTGAAATACAAAAACTGATTTAATAAAGTTCAGCATAATTATAATGAGTTAGACAAAAGTGAGTTGTTGATTTATAACAACTGGAAATGTTAACAAATAATACTCTTTGAATTTGAAAATATTTTATTCTGCCTTAGAAATAGTTTTCTATTTCCTATTTCTATTTCCTAATGTCAGATTAGGACATTATATCTTTCCTGCTATAAAACATCAGGAAGTATAATTTTAGGCTTCAAAGTAGGATGCTATGAGCTTAATTATCATGAGGTAGATATAAAGAATGATGTATATGTATTAGAAGCAGTCAAAAAGCTTTGAAATTCCTTGATTCCTGAGTGTAGATAGGCACTGAGGCAGATTAGATTTAAATTCCCCTTTTTAGACCTTTTATCACTGTAGTTAAGAATAGAAAGACTTGGCAACCCAACTTAGCCTTTTACTACAAAAGTATTGAATTGTTAAAATGGTTTAATTATCACTGTCTTCCACCATTTGGGAAGCTGTAGAGGAAATACATTGTAGAAGAATATTAATTTTAAAAATACTGTTTGTTAATATGTTCGTTAACTGTTCTCTTATTGAAATTTTCAGATAGGTATGTTCCTAATTTACTAAAGTCACTAAGAACTCAGAAAATAGTTTATATTTGTTGTGGAGAAGATCATACTGCTGCACTAACCAAGGTATTGTACTCCTGTAAAACTTTTTTATTAATATTTATGGTAGTTATTTTGTAATTAGTGAATATCTTAATGATATGTATATTGAAACCTTGAGGGTTATTGATGTCTAAAAAATAATTTATTTTGAAAAAGGGGCTTAGGTTATCATCTGTTCTCAAAAACAGTTTACCTTATATTTCAAATGTTTTATGTTATGAAATGTGAATTGTGATCTGCTGTTCGTGTGGTGATGATTCATATTGTTGAGGTTTTCAACTTAATGTTAAACACTGCTGAATAATATTGTGAATGAAATAATTTCTTTTTAGTTTGTCAGGCTTACTGTGCTTTGTGTATCAGTCTCATTTATATTGCATAACTGCCTAATTTAATTTAGCTTCCATGTGGCTTATAAGTATAACAAGTAACAGAGGAGACTGAATTCCTCTATTATCCCTAGGCCAAGAATCAGTATTATGCAAGGAGTTATAATGAGCTTTTATCACAGTCTTGCTAATGGTTTTAACTCAGACCTCTCACTTTCTTGAATATGTACCAGTTCAGTATGAATACTGTATACTTCTCTAGCAATTAGAAGTAAAATGAAAATAGGCTAAGCTTTACCAGTAGTGCTGTTTATTATAGTCATGTTAACATAAAGGAACTAGCAAATTATCATTGACTGAATTAGAGATTAATATTTTTGCATCTTTATCTTTCTTTATCCTGCATAGTAGATAAAATTGGCAAGAAAAAATTACTTCTCATCAGATTTGTAAAAATTCTACACATTTACCCCCCCACTGGAAATTTCAAAATAAGAATTATTCTCAGTCCTTATCAAATACAGTGTACTAAAGAAATTTTAAAAAATCTTATAATGACCAATTACAAAAGTTAATTTTTAGAAAAATTTTATTGTACTTGTTTTTGAATAAGGACGTTTTATTATCTCTGCTAATCTTATTACCATATTTTATTGATTTTTAAAAAAATTCAGTTACATTCAAATTACAGATGTAATCACTGTTGGCAAGTTACAAATTTTAGTGATTCTCTTCTGTCATTGATACTTAGAAGAAATAAGCTCTGTTGAACATGATAGTAAAGAATATTTCGTATGATATTATTCTTTAGGATTACTTTGTGGTAGAAATATTCACATGTTAATGCTTTTCAAATTCATCCTTTCAGATAAGCACTCATCTTATTTTCCCAAGATTTCTAAGTCTTTATATCTTTTTTTTTAAATGAGAATTCTATTAATCTTCTGTATTTTTCTCTCAAAACAGTGTCAATATTTTTCTCTTTTGAGAGAAAAATAGATACTTATCACTGGAATTTTTGGTGTATATTATTTTCAACAAAATTAGATAGTTTTAAGTATTCAAAAGTAAGATATTTTTTAGTTTTCTGTGTTTCAAAATTAAAATCTAGTTGTATATCAGTGCCTTTTGCTTTTCTGGAAGAACTTCTTGAAGACAGATTAGGATTACTTTACAATGCAGTTTCCTTGCACAAAACAAACAGGAAAAATAAAAAATCCCACAAAATTTTAAAAGCAGGATAAATAGAAAGATATGCATGTTAATTGATATGAAGACACTACCATAAAGACGTCAATTTTCTCAAGTTCTTTTATAAATTCATTATGCAGATTACATGTACATATACCTTTGACTTATCAATCCCTTAGCAATTTAAGAATCTATTCCAAAGATACAAAATTATGTATATACAAGGCTGTTTGCTGTGGTAATATTTTAATAATAAAAGAATAGAAGAAATCCAAATACCTATTGGTAGCAGCCTAATTGAATAAACTATGGTAATTCCACTGTGTGTAGTGCCATACCCTGTAAAACAGAATGAGAAAGATCTCTATTTTGTTGTAGAATGATTTTTAGGACATATTACCATTAAGGAAAAAGAAGATACATGTTATTTATATTTGAAAAGAAAAGGTAGACCAAATGAGCCTTGCCTTATGTTTTGACTTTGAAACCTAGAAACTCTTATACATAATTAAAAAGCTAGCTTATATTTGTATATTAAAACAGTTCTACAAAATTACTAGTAGCACAACTATAGAAGATTTCTTTTAGGTCATTTTAAAGTATAGTATTTTGTTGTACATCACTAGTGGGAAATAGCCTAAAGATAAATTGAATTCACAGAGAGCCTCTTAAATTGCATTCTGCAGTCTTATTGTTATGAGGAAAATTAGTAGTGTTATTTTCACTATATTGCATATAGAATAGGATAAAGCAAATAAGTATTTGTTTTATTGTTGTTAGAAACCATGATTTTCAGCTTAAGAGAAAAGACATAAAATAGTAGCAATCAAATTAAAACTCAGTAATCTTTGCTTTGACTCATAAGTATCAGTGTGAATTCTTACTTTTCTCCTTCTAAGATAAATTTGTTTGTTTGCTATGACCAGTGAAAGATATGAGATGTAAGTCAATAGGTGTGATCTAGAAGCAGTGAATATTCTTTGATTGTTGTAGATTCTCTATTAAAAAGAACCAAGGCTTCTTAGAAAGGAGTCTGATCTCATATCTGGAACCAAAAAAGTATGAAAATAGCCTTGGGTATTTTGTGTTACAAAAAAGCAAAGACTACTAAGATCATGTCAGAAGGACAACTTGAAGAAGTGTGTTCAGTGGTCAAAAAAAAGAAATAATATCTTTAATATGTGGAAATGTACCAATTATAAAAAATCTCTGACTTCATAATGATCCTCTTTTTACCCAGATCAGTACAAAACGAAGTTTATTGCTTATCCTTGGAAGTTGCTGGAACAACTCATTTTCTAAAAATTAGTAAATGAGAAAAGCATATTTATTGTATTTCATGATGACTTAATAGTGATGAGTTAAGTTTTCTATAGAAGAATTTCAACTAATTAAATTTAGAAGAAATATTTTTTAATACTCATTTTATACCCATTTTATACTTAATGAAGTGATGAATCTAGACAAATATCAGCATTAAGCTTAATGGGAATAGATAAGCCTGAAGCACACTGTCCCACCTATTTTTAATGTTACCCATCAGACATATGATTGTTGATATGCCAAGATACAAAGGTTCGTAAGGTATTACTATCAATAATTATATATTAACAAATTTATCAGATAGCCTAGATGAAGTGGGTACATACTGGAAACATACAAACTATCAAAACTGTTTACCAAAAGAAACAAAATTGAAATATGCCTCTAATGAGTAAGGGGATTGTAATCAAAAGTCCCCCAAGAATGAAAAGCCCAGGATCAGATGTCTTTACTGGTGAATTCTACTATTTGAAAAATAATTAACACCAATCCATCTCAAACTCCTCTGAAAAATAGAAGAGGAGGGAACACTTTCAAACTTATTTTGTAAGTCCAGCATCATCCTGATAAAAAAGCCACACAAAGTCACTGCAAGGAAAGAAAGTTACAAGCCAACATCCTTGATGAATGTAGATGCAGAACTATTCAATACTAGCAAACTAAAATCAGTAGCACATTCAGATGATTATATATCCAGTGATCAAGTGGGATTTATCCCTGGGATGCAAGGATGGTTCATCATTTGAAAGTCAGTGTTGTACACCACATTAATAGAATGAAGGATAAAAATTATATTATCATCTCAGTAGTTGTAGGAAAAGCATTTGACAGAGTTCAGCATCCTTTTATGATAAAGACTGTACAAAGTGTTGTATGGAGGGAACATGCCTCAACATAATAAAGGCCAAACCTATCACTGATATAATAATTAATGGTGAAAAGTTTGAAAAGTGAAAATTTGAAAGTTTTTCCTTTGAGATTAGGGACAAGACAGGATGCCCACTTTCACTACTGCTCTTTAAGATATTATTGCAAGGGGAGTTCCATGGGAGTCTAGTCGTTGGAACTCCATGCTTCCTCTGTGGGAGGATATGGGTTCTATCCCTGGTTGGGGAACTAAGATCCCGCATGCTGCATGGCCAAAAAAAAGTACTGGAAGTCCTAGCCATAGCAGTTAGTCATGAGAAAAATTAAAGACATTCAAATTAGGAAGGAAAAAGTAAAGTTGTCTCTGCAGATGACTTGATACTATAAAGAGAAAACCCTAAAGACTCCTTGAAAAATCTGTTAGAACCAATAAACAAATTCAGTGACGTTGCAACAAATTAACATTGAAAGTGGGTTGTGTTTTATACACTACCGAACTGTCTAAAAAGAGAAATTAAGCACCAGCCCCATTTGCAGTAGCATTAAAAACAGTATAATGCTTAGGAATAAAGGTAGACCAAACAGAGGAAAGACCTGTACACTGATAACTATATGGCATCAATGAAAGAAATTGAAGAAGACAGAAATAAATGGAAAGATTTCTCATGTTCTTGGATTTGAAGAACAAATATTGTTAAAATGTCTGTATACTCAAAGTGATCTACAGATTCAGTGTCATCTGTATTCAAATTCCAGCGGCAGTTTTCACAGAAATAGAACAATCTGAAAATTCATACAGAACCACGAGAGACCCAGAATAGCCAAAGCAATCTTGAGAAAGAGCAATGAAGTAGAGGCATCGTAGTTCCTGATTTTAAGCTGTATTACAAAGCTATGGTAACCAAAACTGCATGATAGTGGTGTCAAAGCAAGCACATATATTAATACCAATCAAACAGAATAGATAGAAATAAATGCAGCAAATCCTTGACAAGGTGCTTAGAGCACACATCATCATTAATAAATGATGCTGGGAAATCTGAACATCCACATTCAAAAGCTGACTCCCTAATTCACACCACTTAACAAAATGTAGCTCAAAAGGGAATAAAGACTTAAATGTAAGGCCTGAAACTGTAAAACTCCTAGGAGAAAACCTGGGGAGAAAGTTTCTTGGCATGAGTCTTGGTAGTCATTTCTTGGATATGACACCAAAAGCACACAGATAACAAAAGCAAAAATAAACTAAAAGCTTCTGCACAGCAAAGGAAACAGTCAACAAAATGAAAAGTCATCCTGTGAAATGAGAGAAGATATTTGTAAATCATGTATCTGGTTAGGGGTTAATATCTAAAATACATAACTCGTGACTGAGGAACAGTCTAATTTAAAAATGGGCAAAGGGCTTGAATAGACATTTTCTGAAGGAGATACACAAATGACCAAAAGACCATGAAAAAGGTACTCAGTATCAACATCACAATCATTAGGAAATGCAAGTCAAGACCACAAACTCACATCTGTTATGATCACTATAGTTAAAACAAAAACAAAACAGGTATATGGAGAAAGGGGAACCCTATACACTGCTGTTGGAAATACAACTTGGTGCAACCATTATAGAAAACAGTATGAAGATTCCTCAGAATATTAAAAACAGAACTACTATAAATCCAGCAATTCCACTTTTGGATGTATGTCTGAAGGACATGAAAACAGGATCTTAAAGAGATAACTACGCTCATTTTTACTGAAGCATTGTTCACAATAGCCAAGTTATTTAAACAACCAAAGTGTCCACTGACAAATGAGTGGATAAAGGAAATGTGATGTGTACCTGTGTGCATGGGCATGCATACATATACTGGAATATTACTCAGTCATAAGAAGGGGAAATACTTTAATTTGTAACTACATAAATGAACCTGGAGGCCTTATGCTAAGTGAAATAAGCCAGGCAAGGACAAATACTAAATGGTATCACTTATACATGGAATTGTTTAAAAAAATATGAGCGGGAAGGCAATTAGGAATAGAAAGTCAAATTCACAGAAACGAAGTAGAATGGTGGTTCCCAGGGTGTGGGGTGTGAGGAAAATGGCGATATATGGTCAGAGGGTACAAACTTCCTCTTACAAGATTTTTAAATTCTGAGGATCTAATGTACAACATAGTGACTATTAACAATACAGTATTCTGTACTTAAAATTTGCTGAGAGTAGATCTGAGCTTTTTCCTCCCCGCAAAAAAGTGTGTGAGGTGATGGATGTGTTAATTTATTGACTGTAGTAGTAATTCCACAGAGTATATATATATGTCATGTTGTATATTTTAAATATTCACAATCTTATATCAAGTCAGTAATGTCAGTAAGATGAAAAAACCTGAGAAATAAAACTTAACACTTGCTATTTCTGTCCAAAAAAGGAAATTAATGTTTTTTGTGTATAATAGTATTGTGTTATATATTTTTATCTGTTAGAGATATGTTCCATTGAGAATACATACACATTTATAGGTGAAATGATTTTTTGACCACAGTTTGCTAGTTTAAAGTACCTCTGATACAGTTTTCTGCTTTGAAATACCCCTCAAAGCGGGGTGGGAAGGGCATCAGTGAACCAGGGTTGTCTTAAGTTTTACAAGTTAAAACTGAGTGATGTTTATGTGACAATTTAGTATGTAGATAAATACACACACACACACACATATACATACATATTTGTCTTTACTATTGTGTCTTTGTTGAAATTTCCCATGATAAAAAGATTTTAAACAGAAAAATCAATTTCCTGATATAGAAGTCTGTATAAACACTCTTATTCCACTTAAATTTGTTTACATAGCTGCAACTATGAAGAAAAGCAATTGAACTGAGAAAATACTAATTGTGCTTTTGTTGAACTGTCATCATGAATTAACTTTTTAAAAAATATTGCCTTTAATCCAGTTATGTATTTTATGATAGATATTTTAAAGATTGTCTATAGTTTAGTAACAGTATGCTAAGAGTAGGTATATTTGTGTGCTCTGTTTACACATATTTTTTTTTTCCTTTGCAGAGCTACTTTGGAAACTGAAAATGATACCATTTTTAGGTTTTATGAAATTTTATGTGATTTGACAAGAATATAAGGATAGTAAAAGGCAGTGCAAAAATAGTATTGATTTAATGATGACTTTGTCATCATTATTGTCATCATTGGTTTGGTGATGGCCATAAATACTTCTAAATATGTGAAAATAATCAGCAGTATCAATCTAAAACTTTTAGTTTTAAGATGTATTGCCTTGAAAAGTTAGCTATCTTATCATCCATTAAATTAAGAAGACAATAGAAAAGAAAATTGACTCCATAGTTATATTAAAGAGTAACTTAATTTCCTGAAGATTATTTCCTTTTATCAGGCTTTCTAATCACAAAGGATTTTGTCTTCCTTTTTAGGAAGGTGGAGTGTTTACTTTCGGAGCTGGAGGGTATGGTCAGTTGGGTCATAACTCTACCAGTCATGAAATAAATCCAAGGAAAGTTTTTGAGCTTATGGGAAGCATTGTCACTCAGATTGCTTGTGGAAGGTAAGCGGTTATAGAAAAGAGTATTTTGATCTATAACCCAATTATTAAGTTTTTTTTTTTAAACAATCCAGGGGTCTTTTAATTATTACTATTATTATACCATGAATTCATAGGGAATGACTTCCAGCAGCTCTGGCTCCTTTCCACTGGTTCTCACAAAGTGTGCTTCTTTGGTAGCATTTCAGATGAACTTGAGTACCCTTTTTTTTTTTTTTTTTTGGGCTTCCTTTTTTTCCCCCTGATCATTTTTATTCACATGTTTTAGGAAACTGTCTTGGCTCTTAGGGTGCTTTTTGCTCGATGTATACATTAATTCTCTTGGCAAGAAGGATTTTGCCCTTGACTTGTTTGTTTATTATGCCAGTAGCATGCAGGGTAACATTGTAGATTCTTCCACTTTTGCTATGGTAATATCTGTGGGTCATTCCTTTTTGAACAGTGCTGTTCCATGTGACATTACACTTCAAGTTTTAGTCTTTTTTTTCTTTTGCTTGTCCACCTTTTTCTTTAAAGAATGAAAAAATTGACCAATTAATTACTTAAGACATAAGATTAATCAGTGGTGAAAGTTGAACTGGAATACTGATTTCCCCATCCCCAGTTCTTGGGAGTAAATGGGAGTCTGAGCTTTGTAATTGAGCTTCACCTTTGGTCCCCAGAGGCAAAATAGCCTTTGCTTGACTAACTTGGTTTTGACCACTTAGCTTAATTTTTTTTCCAGCTAGTATATAACTCTATATAATATAATTTAGTTTTCCAACAGTTAATTCAGATACACAGAATTATGCTGCACGTAGCCTTTGGTGACTTCCTTTTCTTTCTTTTTTTAACATCATGTGTATGATTATCCGCCTATGTATAGCCATGGTTCTCCATCGTTAGGTCTTACTGCTATGTTTTCCTCAACTGCATGCATCTATAATTATTTACTCAGTCTATTCCTCATGGACTCTTGGGTATTTCCATTTTTGGCAATTGCAAATAATTTTGCTTTGAACATTTATTATTTGATATACATAAACTTTAATATTTCTAAAGTGTATGGTTAGAATGGAATTTCTGGGTCATTTGTTGTTGTTTAATTACTAAGTCATGTCTGACTATTTGTGACCCTGTGGACTGTAACTTGCCAGGCTCCTCAGTCTATGGAATTTCCCAGGCAGGAATACTGGAGTGAGTTGCCATTTCCTTCTCTAGGGGATGTTTCTGACCCAGAATTTCAACCTCTGTCTCCTGCATTAGCAGCCAGATTCTTTACTGCTGAGCCACCAGGGCTTCCCAGGGTCATAGAGTATACTTGAATTTTACAGGTTAATGTTATCCTTTTTACCAGAATGGTTACTCCAAGTTACCTTCCCATCACTATCAATTTGGTATTCTTACACTTTAAAATTTTTGCTAGTCTCTTGGATATATAGTGGCCTTAATCATGATTTTAATTTGTATCTCCATGGTTTGTTAGGGATTGCATTGAGTCTGTAGATCACTTTCAGAAGTAATGACATCTTAATAATAATAATAAGTCTTTTAATCCATGAATGTGGGATCTTTTCATTTATTTTAAGTTCTTTCAGCAATATTTTTTAGTTTTCATTGTATGTCTTTTTGCTGATTTTCCTACATTACTGTCTTTTGTGTTTATTTTTTGCAGTGAAAAGTTTTACTTTCCTTATTTCCTTTTCTGTATATTCTGTAGCTGTTTTTTTGTGGTTACCATGGGGATTACATTTAATATCCTAAAGTTACACACTAACTCAAATTTATACAAAGTCAATTTCAATAACACACTGTGTTTCTAGATGGCTCTGTCCCCACTCAGTTTCAGTTACTGGTGTCACAAGATAACTTTTATATATATTACGTGTCCAAAAAAATTAATAATTTTATGCATTAGTCTCTAGAATTCTGTAGAAAACAAAATTTGGAGGAAAAAGCCCAAAGTTAGAATAGTACTAGCTTTTATAATCACCCATATATTTACTTGTGAAAGTTCCTCAGTCGTGTCTGACTGTTTGTGACCATGTGTACTATATAGTTCATGGAATTCTCTATGCCAGAATAGTAGAGTGGGTAGTCTTTCCCTTCTCCAGGGGATCTTCCCAACCCAGGAATCAACCGGGGTCTCCTGCATTGCAGGTGGATTCTTTACCAGCTGAGCTCTCAGGGAAGCCCCATATTTGCCTTTACTGAGATCTTTATTTTTTAAATACAGCTTAATGAGTAACTTTAATGAGTAACTATCTGGCATTCTTTCATTTCAACTGTAGGATTTCTTTTAGTATTTTTTAAAGGACAAGTTTGGTGTTAACAGACTCCTTCAGCTTTTATCTATAAATGTCTTAATTTCTCTCTCATTTTTGAAGGAGAATTTTGGTGGTGGTTTAGTTGCTAAGTCGTGTCCGACTCTTGCAACCCTATGGACTGTAGCCTGCCAGGCTCCTCTGTCCATGGGATTCTCCAGGCAAGAATAGTAGAGTAGGTTGCCATTTCTTTCTCCAGGGAACCTTCCCAACCCAGGAATTGAACCTGAGTCTCCTCCATTGCAGGCAGATTCTTTACTGACTGAGCTATGAGGGAGTATCAAATTCATGGTTGATAGGTTTTTCTTTCTGTAGTTTGAATAGATAAGACTACTGCTTTCGGATCTGCAAAGTCTCTGCTAAGAAATCTGCTGATACTCCTATTGAGGATTCCTTGTATGTGACAAGTCACTTCTCTCTTGCTTCTTTCAAGTTTCTCTCTTGGTCTTTCAACAGTTTGATTGTAATGTGTCTCAGTATGGATCTCTTTCAGTTCATCCTACTTGGAGTTTCTTGGATATTTGTGTTTTTCATCAAATTTGGGAACTTTTTGGTTATTCTTCAAATGATCTCTCTTTATCTCTTTTTACCTTCTGGAACTCCTACAGTGCCTTTTTGGTCTGCTTCATGATGTTTCATAGGTTCCTTAGGTTTTGTTTCCTTTTCTCCATTTTTTTTTCCCCCTTGAGACTTAGTAATTTTAGTTGTTTTATCTTCAAGTTCCCTTATTCATTTTTCTTTCTGCTCAAATCTGCCTTTGAATTCTTCTACTGAACTTTTAATTTTGGTTATTGTATTTCTCATCTCCATAATTTACTTTTGGTTTGTTTTCAGGCTTTCTGTTTTTTTATTGGTATTTTCATTCTCTTCATATACTGTTTTCTTGACTATTTTCATGTCTTTCTTTAGTTATTTGAGTATCTTTAGGAAAATTGTTTTAGTCTATTAAGGTTCATCATCTGGTTGTTTCATTTTTCCAAAGTAGACTTTTTTTACAGCATTTTTAGGTTCACAAGAAAATTAATTTGTGTATTTGTTTTAGGTGATGAACCTGCTGTTGACAAAAATAATCATTAAGCAGTCCATAATAGGAAAAAGGAAACGAGTTTCATTTAAGCCAAAGTGAGGACAGTTAGCCTGGAAGACATTCTCAGATAACTGAGGAACTGCTCCAGAAAAGCATGCTTTTCAACACAGTTTTATATCTTGTCAGAACAAAGATCCATCAAACAAGTCATGAATAGATTTCCTTCTAGATTTCTAAAAAAGAGATGAGCATGTACACAGCCATGTCCCTGTGGCCTTGACACCTGGGAAAAGAGTCTTTTATCATTGAAGGAATGCCAGGTTTGGCATCCCAGGAAGGGAGCAGGGATTTAATCTTTATTCTTACCATGGACATTGTTCTGGTCATTGTGTCCTTTTCTTTAATAATTAGAGCAGGTGTAGAATGTATGTTTGATAGGCCACAAACCAGCTGGTTTAATTAGCATTAAATTTGTGTTATCTTAGGTGTGAGCCAGAATGACTTCCCATATCTCAATTTGTGAAAATTTCTTTTTGCCACTACATTGATAGTTTATTGCAAGTATACATATTGTACATTAGGGTTTATTCTGTTGATTTGGACAAGTGTATATTGATGTGCATCCACTCTTGTAGTATTATATAGAGTATTTTCACTTTACTAAAAATACTTTATGCTCCTCTTATTCATCCCCCTCACACCCTGACTCTTAGCAATCACTGACTTTTACTTTCATAGTTTTGCCTTTCCCAGAGTATCACAGTTGGAATCACATACTTTGTAGCTTTCTCAGATTGTCTTCTTTCCCTTAGTAATATGTATTTATGGTTCCTCTGTGTTTTTTCATAACTTGGTTGCTGATTTTTTTTTTAATGCTAAATAATGTTCCACTGTCTCGATAGAAGTTTGTTTATCCATTCACCTACTGAAGGAAATTTTGATTGCTTCTAAGGTTTGGCAGTTACAAATAAAGCTGTTATGAGCATCTGTGCTCAAGTTTTTTATAGACACAGGTTTTTTAACTACTTTGGATAAATAATGAAGAGCACTTTTGCTGGATCATATTGTAATAGTTTAGCTTTGTAAGAAACTATCAAACTGCCTTCCAGAGTAGCTGTATCATTTTGCATTCCCATGTTGGTTTTTTTCTTTGATTGGGCTTTTGTAATTTTTAATATTCTCAGATTTTTTTTCTTTTTGAAAACTGGACCTTTGAACCTAAAATGTGGTAACTCTGGAAAAAAGGTTCTCCTTCTATAGGGTTTGCTGATTTTTATTTTGTTTTGTTTTTTCATCTATTTTTATTAGTTGGAGGCTAATTACTTTGTAAAGTATTTGTAAAATACTGTATATTGTAGTGTTTTTTGCCATACATTGACATGAATCAGCCATGGATTTACATGTGTTCCCCATCCCGATCCCTCCTCCCGCCTCCCTCCCCATCTGATCCTTCTGGGTCTTCCCAGTGCACCAGCCCCGAGCACTTGTCTCATGCATCCAACCTGGGCTGCTGATCTGTTTCACCCTTGATAGTATACTTGTTTCAATGCTATTCTCTCAGAATATCCCACCCTCACCTTCTCCCACAGGGTCCAAAAGTCTGTTCTGTACATCTGTGTCTCTTTTCCTGTTTTGCATGTAGGGTTATCATTACCATCTTTTTAAATTCCATA